CTTCAAAAATTGCATGGTATTTGTTGAACGTTTATAAGATGTAAATCCGATTAAAACAAATTTGATACCTTTGGACGAGTAATTAACTTTTTATCCATATATAATAGGTATATAATTAAACTTGATCGGGCGTGCCCTTCACTCCGGATACTGGTTTAAGTAAAATCATAAGTCTAAACAAAAATATATCGTTACCAAGGTGAATGGCCCAATTAAGAAAAATTACGTTCGTTTTTCGTGTTTGGTTGGTTGTTTAAACTTGATCGGGCGTGCCTTTCACTCCGGATACTGGTTTAAGTAAAATCATAAGTCTAAACAAAAATATATCGTTACCAAGGTGAATGACCCAATTAAAAAAAATTACGTTCGTTTTTCGTGTTTGGTTGGTTGTTTAAACTTGATCGGGCGTGCCCTTCACTCCGGATACTGGTTTAAGTAAAATCATAAGTCTAAACAAAAATATATCGTTACCTAAGTGAATGGTCCAATTGAGAAAAAAATACGTTCGTTTTTCGCGTTTGGTACACCCAAATTACCAGCATAAAAAAATGCATAAAAAAATTTATATTTCTAAAGTTAAATTTTGCAAACTAGTGTAATTTATTAACAACATACTATTGCTAAAAAACAAATAAATAAAAACAGAGGGATATCTAGGAGATGGTAGTATAGTAATAACATGGAGGTTCTTGCAACCAAAAAAATTATAGCTGTTTATTTATATTTTATAGCTATTTTATTATATATATGTAAACAAATTGTATCAGAATCAGGTAAAACACTGTGGATGCCCTATAGATGCTGAAGTATTTTTAACATGTTCCGCTTTGCATGAAATATTCCAAAGCTGATTCTATAATATAATAAATACGACAGGTACACAGTTGCCAAATTATGAGGGCGCTCCTTTGTAAGAGAAATAAATGAAAAATGTATACCGCTATAAGGCGCCCCTGGTGTCAAATTGCTTGAAATCAATATATACGTATACAGTCCTTTCTACATTTATTTTATCAACAATAGAGCGTGATTTTTCCGTGAATAATGATAAACATTATAAATTCGCTCTATTGAATGTAATTTCGCAATATATGGACGCTCTATTGGTAGGTGGATGAATATAAATATATATATACTTATATATTTTTTTTTTTCTACTCCCACCTTTAAAACACCCTTTATCGTACACGTTTCCATGACACTAAGTGATCTTTTAAATACACATTGACAAGTTGTGGCTTTATGATGCTTTAGTCACGGGCTGAAGTTAGCAACAGGTTTTTAGTTAGTTGACAGTTGTCAAATGTTATATAATCGTTAAAATAAATTGCCTTTTTTGTAAAATAATACTAAATGTGAAAATTATGTTATTATCTCAATACAAAAATATTAAATAGATTCTCAACGCCAATATTTGAAAAGTTTATATGAACATTGTACTGATCTTTTAATTTCGCCGGCAGTAAACTATAACTTAAGTGCTCATAGAATATTTTCTTTACTTTTTTGACATTTGACGGTGACACACAGATTCCCGTATTGTTTCATAGATGGCGCTCTATGCAAATTTTGGATTTAAATCATTTTAAGATAATAAGTATTTGTCGAAGAAAAAGTATAGTATGCACCTCGTTTATAAACATTATTAATTTAAGCACTCGCTCGCAAGCTTGCTCGTGCCTAAATTAAATTCGTGTATAAAATGGCGTTTATCAAACTTAATACATAATATACTATTATATATATACAAGGTGTCCATAAACTTAGTGGCATAAATTTAGGAGCTGATTAAGCAAGTCAAAATAAGACGAAAATATTAATAAATAAATAAATATTTTTCCTAATTACGTATGTTTAAAAGATACAGTGTTACTTATCAGTTTTTTTAATATAACTTATACTTTGGTAGATTTGAAAAGGTGATATTTTGCGAACAGTCACTTACTACCAAAACACATATTCACACATAATTACAATTGTTCGAGTGAACACAGTGTCGTAGAAACAGGGGTTGCTTAAGCTTATTGTCCCATATAAACTTTGAGGTTAGGTTTTTATACCATTTGATGCAATTTTTCGATTACTCAGTTCGGCTACGCTTACAAAAGTGTACCTCTCAAACTTTGATAAAATAAGCCGTTTCCAAGATATTCTATTATTATATTATTATAATAAATGTTATATCGCATTAAAGGACTAAAAGGTATATGATAACAAATTTTTAAATTACAAAAACTAAAAAATTTGTGACGGTCAGGGCAAAAAGTCCCGAGGCTCATGGAATGCCTTTTTTAGTTTTTTTCAATTAAAAAATAAAAGTTTTTATCATATACCTTTTAATCCTTTTAAATAATGCGATATAGGTACCTAACAATTATTGTAATCTCGATTATCTCGGAAACGATTTATTTTATCGAAGTTTGAGAGGTACCCGTTTTTAATGGTAGCCGAACTATGTACTCTAAAAATTGCATCAAATGTTATAAAAACCTAACCTCAAAGTTTGTATAAGACAATAAGCTTAAAGCAACAACCGTTTCTACAATACCGTGTTCACTCAAACAATTATAATTATGTGTGAATATGTGTTTTGGTAGTAAGTGACTGTTCGCAAAATATCACCTTTCCAAGACTACCATAGTAGAGATTATATTAAAAAAACTGATATGATAAGTAAGACTTTATCACCCTGTATCTTGGAAACATAAGTAATTAGGAAATAGCTATTTACATACCATGGAAGGAAAATAGTGCTTTTTCTCCCGCGAATAGTTTGATGTCCGACGCGAAGCGAAGGGCATTAAATATTCAAGGGAGGAAACGCATTTTCCTCCTGAGGTATATCCTTTTTTCTATTACCTTTTAACGGTTTTAAGACCTTTTAAGTGTTCCGGTTAAAAAAAATGAGGGAGAAAAAATATTTATTTGGGTTTTCGTCTTATTTTGACTTGTTCAATCAATTTTTCCGTAAATAATGATAAACAATATAAATTTCTTGCCTAACAACAATGGTGAACTTATTATTCACGTTGTTAGGCATCAGTGAATGACCAACTTCAATATATACTGTGATTTGATCAATTTGGTAAAAAGTGAGGTTAATAATTTAACTGGTGATTTTATTTATTTATTTTTGAAAATAGTAGTAGATAAATTATGGTATTACACTAAAAATTATGCGCATTATTCATCCTTATATACAGAAAAAATCAATAATATTCAATAGGTGAACCAATTAATAGCACTACTCCCGGCGCATCCGCCGTTTTTGTAACAAAAAAAACAATTTAATATTACATTTATTTCTTCAAATTAAATTACCATTGGCCTAATTATGTTTAAAATTTATTGTTTTATTTTTATTTTTATATTTATCTTTCACAAATAATGCATACAAAAACAATGTTTTTTTTATTTAAAAATAAACTGTAAAACAAATGTAAAATAATTGATTAAAATTATTATTATATTTTTTTTAAATATTAACTTTATAAAGTTTAAATCCTTAACATTTAACCAGTTTTATGTAAGGCTATTGGCGATTATCGAAAAAATAATTATTTTTACAGTCTACAAGCCTTGCCATTAAATAAATATAATTGCCAAAAATCTTTAAAAACGGAGGGAAGATTTGGATTCAGCGCCCCTAGTTACCTTAAAAACAACTTTTGGTTGCTCAGGTCCAAAACCGTGTATACTAAGTATACACGGTTTTGGACCTGAGCAACCAAAAGTTGTTTTTAAGGTAACTAGGGGCGCTGAATCCAAATCTTCCCTCCGTTTTTAAAGATTTTTGGCAATTATATTTATTTAATGGCAATTAAAAGTAATAAATTAGAAATGAGGATCGGTCTTTGATATTGTGTTGGATCCGTTTCCCGCATTAGAGTCCAACAGTACTCGCTTATCATGCCTTCATCCCAAAATCCTTGGTATCTCCTTTCAATGTTTGCGAGATCTGCCGCTTCTTCGGGCGTTAAACATTTTGTGAAATTTCAGGTCCGACAAATATTCCTTCTTTGATTTTTGCTTTCGACAATTTCGGAAACAACTTGATTAAGTACTGAAAAGCCTGCCTTTCACCTGCGAGAACTACAAAACTAGAACCAATGTTGCTAAACTGATTTAAGATTCGAATTCAGCGCATCAAATAACGTTAAAAATCGTTCTAATCTGCTCGGGTCCAAAAGTTAGCCGGAATTTGTAAACTTATTATAATTATAATTTAAACCAATCCGGTAAAGTTCTATACAAACAAAAAATTGAACAATTTAACATTATAACTAAGTTTTACATGTAGACATGCCACATTTTAATCAATTTCTTCCCTACTATATTTTGTGTTGCCATTATCATCTTATGTTTTTATAATGGCCGCTATAACATATGTAATTTAATACATTGCTAAATTCGTATATGAAATAGTTTTTAATCACTCTAAAAAAAATCATTATTTTAATTCATTATTTATATATCAAACTGCCCTTATATTTATATAAAGAGCTTTAACATCTAGCATCATTTCTCTAAATGTTCTGTAAAATGACGTTATAACTGATTTATTACCAAAGCAAAGATTTTTAAATTTAAATGTAATTTAAATAATTATGGGTTTGAAAATTGACAATAATTAACTGTTATTGTATTTATGTTATTTTAACAGGTTTATGTTTTTAATTAAAAAAGGACTTTATTGTAAATTCAAATTCATCCAAACGTGAATAAACTACAAACTAGAGACTAAATAACCATTTATTTAAAATTAATTTCACAAAAAAATCAAACTTGGTAAAATACTTAAAAAAATGGCGATTTCGAATATTTGTGTTTTTGGCCAAACCGTTTTGCCAATGCCTATGATTGAAGTCAGCGAGTTACTAAATGTCTTAACGTATTATATATGTTTGAAATATTTATATTATGTAAATATATACTTGCCTAGATATTTGCATAGCATTAAATCGTTAGTCCTATTATTGATATTGTATTATTTAATTTAGGTGCTGGAGCTTCTCGATGGGAAACCGGCGATTTATTCTTCCGGTATCTGAGAAACGTTAGCGTTGAAGCCGATGCCGGTAAACCGAACCTGGAGTTTACTCAAGACGGCGTTCTTAAAGCCGCCGAGCTTAAAATCATGAATCTAAGGCCCGGAATTAGCAGACAACTAGTATGGGAAGAGGTAAATCACATAATATTAAGGAACTTATTTTTGCATAGAGTAAAACTAAAATTAAGTATTATCAGCATTTACGCTAGACAATTAAACATTTTAAATAATATCATGGGAATGGGTTTTTTATTTAAATTTATTATTTAAGTTCTTGTTTAAATGCCATTTATAATATCGTGGTCTTGCTAAGAATATCGCCAATGTGAGAAATTTTGATCAGTTTTTTAGTTCAATCAATATAGAAATTGAACTCGGAAATTAATCCTTTCACAAATTTTTATTAAACTATAGTTGTATATGTAATTGTAAAAAACCTTCATTTATGGCTGCCGTAGTGCTCATTCATAATGGACGTAAACGTAACGTAAACGTAAACATAATATCACCATAATTTGTACGTAATGATGAGCTGTGTTTATAATGAACGTATGCCTTATGTATACATAGGCATGTGTATATTAATAAGTTCACTTTCGTCTAATTATTATGTCTTAAAACTATCAGTGTTATCATAACCTTAGTGTAATCGATATATATGTAGAATTACTTCTTCTTTTGTTGGCAAAGAGAAGAATTTTGCCCACAACCGAAAAGAAGCAACGGAAACCTCGTCGGTGGAGTATAGGACCAGTGAATAAAATTAAAATTTCACGATGAGGAATGGTTCTTGTCATCTGTTTGCATGGCATCCTGATTGCTACCAACAATGTTCTAGGGAAATCATGAAAATTACTAAAATTCACACATAAGAAACCCGTAAAGTTGAGTTCATTTCAACTTTACGTATTTTTTACCCATAAGATCTTATGTTCAAACGTAAAACGTAAAAATTACGGCTACTCATTATAAACAGGCACACTGGTTTTGTTAATATTCAACTTTACGTGTTGCGTATTTTTTACGGACATCTTATGGTTACGTCCATTATGAATGGGCACTTAAGCAAGTTTCCGGCGTTTTGAAGGCAATTGTTTAACCCTATTTTTGAATTAATACATACATTAATACATAGGCTACGACGTACTAAAAAAAAATTTATTCGCGTGAATGAAGGCGTCGAAGCAAAAAAGATGGCCACTTTTTATTCTACTATTTAACATGAATGTAGCATTTTCAACATACTGAAAATAAGTTGATGGTAAAAAAATTGCTTAAAAATAAAAAGTAACACCAAATATTTTATTTGCTTTTCGTTTCCAGTGTAAAATTATTACATTGGAGGTATTTGCAGTTCGATGACGCGTAGCAGTTCGATGACGCGTAGCTTATTATAATACTACTGACCGGTTTATTAATGTCCAGTTAACTGTCTTAACTGGTAAATAAAAAATTGGTAGCTGTTTATCAATATGCAACTAACGTTTACTAAGAACTTAAATTAAGATATCTGGAAGTAAATTTTACTGAAAGCTGCAAGTATCAGATATCGAATTAATGTTTTATAGTATACGTTTAAAACAATGATATAATAAATAATAATGACCATGGACTACTGTTTTCATCTAATAATTCGTCTTAAAAATATCCTTTTTTATCTCGATTTATAGGTTATATTTGTTTTTTAAATAAATATTGCAGATTTTTTGAAAAGTGACGACGATGAACAAATTTTTCAGTTTGTGCAACACGAGAGAAGACCGTATACATACAAGTTTAGAACGGGAAGAATATTTTCAAGATTATGACGATGTTGATTTGTTTATAAAATATCAGCTGCAGAAGCAAATTTAGTGGAATTTATAGAACTAAGTATAAACTTTTACTGATAGGTTGGTAAATGTTCTACATTAGGGTGCTTCAAAAATTAAAATATATTTTTTTACTTACCCTCTTAAATGTTTCTATTTAATATAAAAAAATTCTCACCAAATATGGGCGTTCCAGCTCAACTCTAAGAGGTCGCTGTTTTTATTTTAGTTTCCCATTTAATTAACATGGGAAAAAATAATTTTATGTTTGGAATTTTATACCTTTGTGTCAAAGTAACTTATGGTAATGATCATTGCAGTTTCTTATAAAATGTAACGCTCTACAAAAAAGATCTCTTATTATTTTTTGATAAATTGATTTCTTCTAGAGTTATTCGTGGTCAATGTTTTTTTAATTTTAAGGGGCAGAAAGGGGGCAAAACAAGGCAGCGGGGGGGGGGAGGGCAAAAAATTTTTTAGATTGTTTTTTTTTCGTTTCTAAATAAAATATATTGACTCACCACGCTTTTAATCGAAAATAATTATTCTGAGCCTGTAGAGCGTGAAAAAGGATGGTACAATTTTGGAAAACTTTTCATATGCTCATTTTTTGAGTAACCCATTTTGCCCCCCACCCGCTGCATTGTTTTGCCCCCTTTCACCTCCCGTCTGCTAATTGTACCAGAGAATTTGATGTTAATCAAACTTTGACCTCGAATAACTCAAAATCAATTTAGCGAAAAATTATAAGAGATCTTTTTTGTAGAGCGTTACATTTTATATAAGAAACTGCAATGATCATTGCCATAAGTTACTTTGATATAGAGGTATAAAATTCAAAACATAAAATTCTTTTTTTCCATGTTAATTAAATGGGAAAATAAAATAAAAACAGCGACCTCTTAGAGTTGAGCTGGAACTCCCATATTTGGTGAGGATTTTTTTTATATTAAATAGAAACATTTGAGATGTTAAGAGCGAAAAAAAAATTACATTTTATCTTCTGAAGCACCCTATTCTACATATTTGTCCACGTATTAAGAGAACAATTTGGAATGTATTGATCTTATGTAAATAGATTTGTAACGAAGTTCAGCCGCTGACATACTGGCTTTAGAGTCCACCGTCCGTACGAAAACGCTTGCTAACTCTATCGTTTAAAAATCCGCAACCGCCTTATTTTACTTGCTTTTCCATACTTTTCATTTCATTTACATTGTTAGATTAATTGTTGTATTTTCGTAAGTAATATCATAAGGGCATTTAATTTTTCAGAAAAGAATCGAAAAAACACGTTGCTAAGTAATATTTTAACAAAAAGCATGAGTGCTGGTGGCAACAAAAATCCGAGTCGAAGAGGAGGATTTTTGCACCTGCACGAATGCATTTTGTTAAAAAATATTAGTTAGCATTGTGTTTTTTTGATTTTTTTCACAGGAAAAATTAGATGCCCGAATGGTACCGTAAAACGGGGTTACTTTGGCAGATTTTGGGACATTTTTGACAACAAAACTAAAACCTTCGCCAATAATCCACAAGAAAAAATCTCATTGTAACAAACATCAATAAAGCTGTAAAAGCTGAAAATTTGAATAAAAAATATTAAAAGGTAACTGAGAAAAAAAATTGTTTATATGCTGCCAAAGTAGGCAAACGTTTGGGGTAACTTTGGCAGGATATGTTTTTTCGCTTAAAATGCGAAAGTAGACTGCTCTAAAAGCCTTCTTTGGCACCGTTTTAAAATTTTAAATTGGATTTTGGCAATTTTTTTTTAAAAATATCATAATTTAGCTTAATTAAAACAACGTTTTTGAAATCTCCCCTCTTAGGGCAGCTAACGCGTGTAGTTACCGTATGTACGGCCCCCAATTAGCTTTTTGTAGTGGCGCGGCATTTTTCTAGTAGTTTAGACCTGTAACAACCTGTAACAAGAAAATGAACCTGAAAAACCGCGAAAAACATATATAAAAAAATAAAAAACAATGCAGATGACTCATGTGCCAAAGTTACCCCCGATGCCAAAGTAACCCCGTTTTACGGTATTTGACAAGACTATTTCATGAGTAACACTCGAATAAACTGCTGACAGGTGCTGTCACACAGTTTTTTCACCTAGAAACCATTTGTAATTCAAAATTGCGCGTTTGTGATTGGTGGAGGGAAATAGTCTAATTAATATTTGCTAGAAGTGTGACCTTTAGTTTTTATATTTATTGTTACCGTTTTTTATTCATTTAGTTTTGTTGTTAACTTTTATTTGGTTCTAATATTATTTCAGTTTATACATTTCAATTCTAGTGTTACACATTTCCTTTTGTTTAATTTTTACTTCAATATATGTATTAAATTAACCCGTTGTATTTTAAATTAATATAAGCTGACTCCTGGATTAATCTTTCTCCACTGTCTAAAAGCATACCCAGATACGTGGTGTTTCTCCACATTAAATAACGAAGCTGGCGCCCGAGATTTTATAAGAAAATCCTTAAGGTAAGCTCGCGCCATATGATTAACGTTACAAATACCGAAGCAACGTTACAAAATGGCGCCCGAACAGGGATCTTGTTAGCAAACTGTTTTTTAGCCCAAAGGGCCGTAGTAAATTTGTGTTTCCGTATAACCGTGTGACCCCTCATTTAGTAGTAAATTGAGGACGCTGATTCAGTTTTTGGCAACAATTTTAGCCTAAAGGGCCGTAGTAAAATTTTGTTTCCTTGTGGCCATGAGACCCCTCGTTTAATAGTAAATCGAGGCCGCCGAATCCGATTTTGGCAAAATATTTGGCCTAAAGGGCCGTAGGAAAATTTTGATTTCGTACAGCCGTTTAAACCCCTGGTTTAATAGTAAACAAGGTCACCGAACCCGGTTTTGGCATCCGTTTTTCATTAAGATCAATCTTGTTTGATTTTTTTCTTCTGCGATGGTTTAAAATCCTTCTTCATGAAAAATTCCGCCACCGCCGCAAATTGGAGGCCGGTGGCAAGAAGAAATTTATTGCCCCGTCTGACCAACCGCCGAACCACACCGTTCCGTCTCGCTACCGTTCAAGCTGTACCTCAGCTGCAAAACGGCACTAAGGCCGGTAGCTGACCCGTGAGGAACACCAACCCCATAAATCAGCCAATCACACCGGTGTGTGGAACCCAAGACCCGTTAAAATTTCCCTCTTTCTCAGCAGATGTGACTTTGCTCGAGAGGAGGAGGGACCGGGCAGTAGATACTGGTGCATGGGAGATCGGGTAGATGAACATTTTGCCGGCCAAAACATTTTATCTAAGCGCAAGCGCCGTGCCTGGGACACATGCCTTTGAATTGCTCGAT